TACTATGTTTTATATTGCTCGTATTCATTACTTAAAACGCTCTTCTTTTCAACCACTGACACAACAAATCATATCTTAATTTTCTTGCTCCCACATACAATACTAACTTAATCCCTTTAAAATCATAGAATGAAATAAATATTTGTATTAATATTTAATTACTAATACGTTAAAGCTCTGTATAAGACCGTAGAAATTATTTTAATAGCATTTGTATGACGTGACACAAACGCTTAGCTATATAAAACGTGCCATTTCATATGCAAAAACTACTTTCGCGGGAGGTATTGCTGCACGTCAAAAGTATAGCACGCGTGCGTTGCGAGGAGCACGTGCGCATCGGCTGACACTTTCGCGATTTGCTCGCAATCAGCTGTACAGGCTCGATGATAATTATCGTTATCCACTGAAATCTTCGCTGATACGACGATCTACGATGATAGCGTTTTGTTTTCATTTACACGTTTTAATTATACCTACCGTTAGAATGATCAACGTGAATGTAATTGTTTAACCATTATGAAATTGCTGATAACTCTAATCATCGGTGAAAATTGTTTGCGATGATTAGATTGCAGATTTTCTGCACTTATAAGGAAATTCAATGTACAGGAAATATAAACACACACGTAATATATAAAAATATACAGAATATCAAAAGTAGAAATTTAAATTATAAAACAAATATTTATTTGAAGCAAACTTGCGATCAAAAGTTAAGATACAATATGAATAATTATTACAGCAATGTGATAAATCTTTGATTGTTTTAAGATAACAAAGAAATATTTGCATAAAAGTTCTGTTTGTAGTGTGCGTCTAACGATGCATTGTCTTCTATTTGTTGAATCGTGGCAAAGGGTACTTTAAACGGCAACATCTTTAAAAGAAATTGTTTTATTCAAAGCATTTAGCTTGTTAAGCCCCGTGCGCGTAGGTCGTAATTACTAAATACGTCGAGTTAGTTTGACACCGAAACTGGCGCCGGGCCTTCTTCGCTTGCCTGAATAGTACCTGATGTAATTGGGCGCTTCCTCGTTACGAAATTCTAATTTGCATAATCGAATGATCAGCGGTCGAACATTTCGTTTGTCAACATTTCCTGTCGAGCAACTACGTACTTCCGTTTGCTCTTGGCGTCGAAAATCGTTGAAAGGCCACTTTTGTGTAGCAGCAACAGGCAACAAAAATAAAGTAGGTATGCCATTTCTGGCCGCTACATCATTTGTACTAATAAGTTTAGTAATAATTAGTGTCGTTTTTTTTAGTGTTCGTTTATGTATTGGAAAACCATATTAATTATTACTAGACCAGCTAGTATCGTATTTATTCCGGTAAATTAACAATAAATCTACCCACAGTTTTTGTATAGTAATATTACAATGGAACCTCGATATACGTTTATATAGTTGCAATAAGTCCAATTCGGAATACATCCTGTTTTGGACATGACAAATTTTGCTCGGTTTACGACATATTCTCCAATTCTGTGCGAAACGAGTACGGCTGGTGCTATATCAGTATGTAAACCATATTCTATATAGTGAGCCTAGTTTTTTGCATTATTATTTCATAAAAGATATATTGCTGAGACTTATGCAAGAATATTAATGATGGAACTCTAAATATGTCGAAATTAGCGATAAAGAAAACGCAATTGTATCACTTTTGGCTATGAGGTGCAGTTACTACAAATATTACACTTCGTAACCATTATTGATCAGCAGTTGAAGCACATGAAGAAGCACAAGTTGTTTTTGTATCAGATCTACAGTTTCTGAAATAACAGCTAATCGCGCTTTGTCTATTTAATCCTGTATAACATGTAGGTAGTATTAATAATGAAAACAAGACTTATGATTTATTTACTACTAACAATATACATGTTATAAATATTAGAATTCGTAGAAAGTCATTCGGTAACGTTCTTTAATAACATCAGACAAATAGCTATCGTTTTAAAGAATTTCTTAGTCGACGTTAAAATTGCTAGCTTATGCATTCACTGTGGTTGAAGAAAAACGAGCTGATTATTTATATGCGCGAATTAAACTTTTCATCACTGCTCGTGTGGTTCGTCTATCGTGATACGCTGATAAAAAAGATATCTTGTCGAAAGTTTTCCAACATGAAATCGGCCGGGAACCGGTTAGAAAGAGAAATGCGAAGATAACACAGTGAAACCTCTTGATCATGCTAATAACGTAATCAATCATCGAGTTTAACAGAAAGGAAGGACAGTCTTACGATTAATTGTACATTAATGTTTCGTAGATAACACTTGAACCTTGCTACTTACGGTTTGTTCTGCGATCTGTACAGAATTTCTTTCGTAATAACCGTAAACTGTATTGTGTAATTTATAGCATTACTTCGCAGCCGATCGTTGAATATAAATAATTGTAAAACAAGCAGTTGTTAGATACGTTATCAAGTATGTGAGAAACGTTTAAAATTCTTGAAACTCCTAGCTTGTTTGATAAATAAGAATACGTACAAATGTTATGCAAGTGAATTTATGGATAGAAGAGTACATATGGACGAAACTCATTTATTATTTAATCGTATTAACACGTGTACGTAAATGGGAAGCCGAAAGAGGAACGGATGAATTGATTTGTTTGAACTTGTTTGAAATCCAAACGACAGTTACATTATTGAAGGCATGAGGTAATGTCGGCAAAAAAAATTTGATCAACTATCGCGCATGATCGAGCAAAATCGAATTCCTGCAATTCGTGATGGACGACAGCACGTGAGCCGCAAGCAAATTAAGTCGAATCGAATCAGTTTGTTATTGCTGGCGCACGTACTTACACGTGGTGTGCGTTTATCACGCGTGGTGCTAATTCCTCATGGTTCTGGCCGCGGGGTTCAATCCGTTTCACAAGCACGTTCTTACTATTGTTTAAGAAGTCAATCAATGACACGCGATTGCACAGCCGTGGCCCTGCGATCGACGCGTTTAAATTAAATTATGCACGTATAGCGAAGTCTTCCGGATGGAATATTACCCAGTACGATACTAATAGACATATCAAACGGAGCTTATAATAAAATGATGATTTATCGAAACATTGGCTCATCGTCATGCGAATTCTTGCACATTCACGAAATTTAAGATTATTCACTGTACAATCTCCGGAAAAGATTCTACGTGTTCTAAATATAAGCCATCTAAATTCTACTTCATTTTTGGTGTGATAAGAAAAGTACGATTTATGCGATCGAAAGATGAATTTTTTATTGAAGAATTTTTTGCCGAGTCTTGAAGATTACCGATATAATTATTAGCGATTAAGTCTTCAGGCTTAAAACGTCATCACATACACATTTGCAGCTTTTCGCTAGAAGCGATATCGGTGCGAATGAATTTTATATTTAATTTCAAAATTCAAATTTTAGGAATTACAGGTCAGTTTAAGGTCTTATCACTAATATGTTTGAATGCGTTTCAATGTTAACTGTAATACGCAGAAGAAAAGAATATACGTTTACAAGCAAAAGATATTAGTGACGTTAAAAATTTAGAACGAACGTCGTTTACAAAAAGATTTTTATAAGGCGTTCATTTTTTGATAAAAAGTATTCTTTCTATCATCACAGATAAAGATGATATTTAGGTGTCTACATTTAGCTTGAACATCCCGTGTAGCTACTTACATTAAAAAGTATATTTTAAGAGGAATACGATAAAATAATTATTAAAGTCTAATTACTATTTTGTCCGCATTTTAATACTGTGTGAAGAACATTTTTACTGTTATTCTATTTCATTTTCGACTGTTTCACTGCTTCCATCAATTTGTAACAATATTTTTTATTACCTTCTATGGCAGAGAGCTTACGGCTCATACAATCTGAACTTTCTTTCATTCTTCAGCTGTTTTTTTTTATTTTTGTTCTATTTCGTTCTCAACTTATTAAAATATTTGCATTTTTTATAGTATTTAACATGAGAGTCTTTTAGAAAAAAATCTACATGAAATCTTGTTGTAATGGAATTTTTTAAATGTCACTTCTTCTATAGATGTTCTATACTTAGATATTTTGTTATCATTACTTCGTATCAAGTTAATCGTCGATCAGGCCGACGTTGCGTAAAGTTCAATGCGAGACACTAATCAGGCTATACGGTTTCGCACGGAAACGTGACCGAACATCTGTCCACTGGCTTCCGTCGGTTTTCTCCAGTAATATTCCATTCCGTTAACAAACCGCTTCTGCAAATAAGTGGGATGCAATCGACGAACAACATGTGTAAGAACGGTTTCTGCCCTTCGAATCAACTCGGAGCAATTTGTCGAAGAGACAGAAAGAACCATGACCATTATATTCAATTTACAGCTTAAACAATAGATTTTCCAACGATGATCTTTAGCATTGGGCTGGATTAAAGTTTCCCAATTTGCGAAATTTATCATTTTTAGAGTATTACATTTCATTTTTGTTTCGTGTAAATCAACGACTGTAAAATTTTGATACTTTTATTGTCTTTTTTGACAACAATGATTTATTACCTGCGATCCAAGTTGACAATATCTCGCGCGATCTTGGCATCGGACCTTGTACATCTACATGCTCATTCACTATTATCGTCAACGTGTAACTGAGTAACGAGCGTCAATGTGTCAACATCCTATTTCGATATTATACGCGTTTGCGAGTTGAATATAAAATATACAGCGACTACCATTAATATTTGTACCCATTTCAGAACTGAATAACTTTCAATATTGGATCAAACAATTTAATATTCTTTGAGGTGTTAGAAAGCTTAATGTGTAACGAAAAATTTAAAAAATTACTCAATGAGTGATTAACAAAACTATTTGCAAAACTTATTTTTAAATAGTTTCTTGAACCAGTACAGATCATCTGCATGTAACATAAAATATTTCATAATTCGTATGCTGAAGAAACGTGTATTCTGTTGCAGATGGAAATGCACAAGAACCCCAACGAGAAGAATTCCATGCACGACGAGATGTCGTTGAAGGAGCCTCATAGGTAAATAAATATGTAAAATTATTATTTCTAAATACGTCGAGCTGTAACGCTGACCGCACGTGACGCAATGCCATTCAATTTTTAACACTTACTGCTTAACACATGTGCTGTTTAATTAGTTCGACCAACACTAAATCGATCCGATAATTCATCGCGTTATTGCGTTGCTGAGTCGTTGTGTAATAGCGGATTGTTCTGTACATCCGTATTGTTAATTAATAATTTATTGCTTCAAACAGTGCAGCTGCAGTTATAACGCAACGCCATTAATTGATACCTGTCCCCTATATTTCTTATAAATAACTTGCGGTTTGTATGTACTTATATTGTAGAAAAATGGTATAGATGTACAAAAAATATAAAAAAATTTATTCAATCTCCTCGAAATGTCAACAGTAAAATGTAGTAAATATGTTAATTTTTGTTCACGTTACAATTTTTACTCATTGGATTAAGATTGCATATAAAATTAAGAAAAAAAGCAGTGAGTAAAAATTGTGGTGTGAACAGAAATTGGGACATTTACTATACATATTATGATTATCACAAATACAAAAGAAATTCCTGTTTAAATTTCATTTTCTAAATTGACATTGCAAATGGTTTATTTTGCATGAAGATTCACAGATTACTTATAAATCTCTATTAGTTATGATCTGTACAAGAACCGCGTCTCGCCCAGTTGATCATTGCCGAAAATAGTTGTGCCGTGGATCGGCCTGCATTAAACGGGCAAATTGCGAAATTAGCAAGCCTTATACACGCGTACGTGTTTCTGTTTCAATGGCAAGACCACAGCCAAATGTGACGTAGATCGTTGGCACCCGGCGTTATTTCTTCGATCTAGCATCGAGCCGTGAGACGTTCTCCATCATTCGACGCGGTTTTTACCGCCGAGGTTGCATTTTCGCAACGAGCAGATTGCATGGAAATAAGATTACACGGATAAAGATTTTCCTACGACTTTCAATTCATCGAGATTTATTGTGCAATTGCTACTGTTGCGCAAAGATTGAAAGATATATAAGAGAACGTTGTTCATTACCTGTACATGAATCATTTCCCAACAGAAGACACTTGCCCTGGTTATAAACAAATATTATATATCAACGTAGAACGCATCTTTGTAACAGGAAAGTAATGTTCACGACGTATCGTTTATTGATTAGCCTATTAAATCTCAGTTGTTCATTAATCATTCAGTCATTCAAGGCCACACACCAAGGTAACCGGTTACTTCTTTTTTTTATTACATTTCCCAATCGATGAATCATTGTCCTTATATTCTTAAAATACCAGTTAGTTGATTTGGATTCATTTTTTTCTATAAATGTTTTATATTATTTGTCGAATGACATTCTATTTTTAAAATTAGCTTAAATATAGCCATGTCGTTAATAGCTTGTGGCGTAGGTTTTGGAAGGGAAATCGGCCGCGCAGGTTAGACAGGAATTATAAATAACGCGTGATGAATTCGGCGTTATGCCTGTGTCACCGACACGTTGTCCGAGAAGGGAAGTCTGAAATATTTGCCACGATTAATAAGAAGGCGTTTCCGACTGGTTTACAGGGGGTTCGCCTTGAAATGTTAATGCCAGTTCGCGCGCACGACCTACACAGTCTTTAAATAAATATCAGATTGGTCATTGCCTCGACTCAATGCAATTCGTGAGTTGCACTTTTCCAGAACTTGCGGTCTACGTGTATTTGTCTTTACTCATGCTCATTACAATTATCTAAAATCTGCAAGTTTCTATTCAGATATAATGAACTCAGTAAGCTTTCATACACATTTTAGAATTAAATAATTTTTTTTAATATAAGACTTAAGGTTGTATGAGACTCTAAATAAAATCAATGACCAAGTATTTAAATTTTAACAGTTATTAGGTATTACATTAATAAAACACTGCAAAATTTAAGAGAAAGTAAAGAGCATTGTAAGTGACGTTCATTACTGGGCTATGTGAAGCTGAGATAAAGATATTGACGGAAGTGGTTTCAAGCGACGAACTTAACTCTGCAAGCAGATTTGTAAAAAGTTTATTTGTACAAATGAAAAAATGTAACTTTTCTGTTAATTTTTCTGACTAAACGTAAATATATTTTCGTCACAATCTATACGTGGCTACTATATGATTATGTATATTGTTTAATTTGAAATATATTCACTCCTACTTCATGTTCCTATGTTGTCCGACGATGTTGCGATTATATAAAATGAGATCAGCTGCTTTGTAAAGTTCGATCACAATTGGTGAAAGTGGAACACATTCTAGCGTCGTCGGCTTGTCTGCTATGGTAGAAGTCGTGCCATAATAATCGGAAGTCTGAACCGAGCGACTGGTTTAACGTTCATGGGAAAAGGTAGACGTAACTTTATACAAAGGTAGACCCGCTGATACCGCATTCTAGTTACACTCGTTGCAATCTCCAGTTTCGTTGAACAAAAAGATTTTCAGCAATTAGAGATCTCATTGCTGTCCGATCCTTACGTAATTTACATGTAACGCTGAGTCTCGAATTCTCCTGAATGACCAACTGATATTGTAATTTTTAACACATTGTATCCTTAGATTGTAACGAATAATAAAATGAATTTTTAGAAACTGCATCAGTTTTTATAATCAAGGCACGCGGTGGCATCTTGAAGGGATGTTTGAGTTGACATGAGTTGACATACCTGACTGTTATTTTTTTTAATATAAGACTTAAGGTTGTATGAGACTCTAAATAAAATCAATGACCAAGTATTTAAATTTTAACAGTTATTAGGTATTACATTAATAAAACACTGCAAAATTTAAGAGAAAGTAAAGAGCATTGTAAGTGACGTTCATTACTGGGCTATGTGAAGCTGAGATAAAGATATTGACGGAAGTGGTTTCAAGCGACGAACTTAACTCTGCAAGCAGATTTGTAAAAAGTTTATTTGTACAAATGAAAAAATGTAACTTTTCTGTTAATTTTTCTGACTAAACGTAAATATATTTTCGTCACAATCTATACGTGGCTACTATATGATTATGTATATTGTTTAATTTGAAATATATTCACTCCTACTTCATGTTCCTATGTTGTCCGACGATGTTGCGATTATATAAAATGAGATCAGCTGCTTTGTAAAGTTCGATCACAATTGGTGAAAGTGGAACACATTCTAGCGTCGTCGGCTTGTCTGCTATGGTAGAAGTCGTGCCATAATAATCGGAAGTCTGAACCGAGCGACTGGTTTAACGTTCATGGGAAAAGGTAGACGTAACTTTATACAAAGGTAGACCCGCTGATACCGCATTCTAGTTACACTCGTTGCAATCTCCAGTTTCGTTGAACAAAAAGATTTTCAGCAATTAGAGATCTCATTGCTGTCCGATCCTTACGTAATTTACATGTAACGCTGAGTCTCGAATTCTCCTGAATGACCAACTGATATTGTAATTTTTAACACATTGTATCCTTAGATTGTAACGAATAATAAAATGAATTTTTAGAAACTGCATCAGTTTTTATAATCAAGGCACGCGGTGGCATCTTGAAGGGATGTTTGAGTTGACATGAGTTGACATACCTGACTGTTATCGCGTTATAATCAA